GAGGATCCAAAGAAGAATGCAGAGATGGGAGAGCAGTTTGGCTGAGCAGACAAGCAAAAGGTGTTGGCTTCTTTAAAAAAGACACACACAGCTTTAATCAATCCCCAACTTACTTTCAAAGAAAGTTTTGGGACTGCAGGTTTCTGTGTCTTGTCTTTGCACAGCTTTTGCCTGCACTGAAGAAAAGCTGCAGATGTTTTCAAAGCAACAGAGGGTAATTTTAGCCTTCTGGGTCACTCCTGTACCCCCTCCATCCCCCTCTGGGGGACCAGCGGATAGGCAAAGTGGTCGCTGCAACCTTGAAAAAACTCGCTGAGGTTGGAGCAAGGAGTTCAACTTCCAAAGACCTTCTCTCTAGCCTTCCAGCGGGGCTGCAAAGCTGGTGCAGGGGGGCGACTCCTGGTAGCAGGGAAGGGCTACTCAAAGGGAGTTTAATTTGACTACCTGATTCTGCACGGGAGGGGGGATGTGTGCGCTTGGTTTGCAATTCTGCTCCCTGTGCGCTCTCTCAAGGTTCACCTGACTATTCAGTCCTAAAGCATAAGCATCCCCACCCTCTACTTTCCTTACAAAATTTAAAATGGGGCTTTGCCATTCTTCAGGACTTCCCAACCCTGTTTCATGCTTCTTCCCATTTTACAGATGTGAAAACCAAGAGCTCCTGGCTTAGGGTTCCCAAAGCAGAAATGGTACAGAACAAAGCACAACCACACACCTGTTAAAAATACAAACAACAGCAAAGCCCAGGGCAATTTGCTTGCAATTTCAATGAGATTTTTCAAGGCCCCCATCAGGGTGGGTATACTGCACTGGATCCAGAACGAGCTTTTTTTGTTTCTGGCTGAAAAACGGGGCCTCAGAAAAGGATCTTCAAAGACCCAAACACCCATATGTTAGACATCCAAAATGGACTGATGTCAAAGCCAAAATGAAGACCACAAATTATACATCACGCTACCGAGTAACCCTTCACATGCAAAACAACTTGCCAAGCGTGTCTGTGGGACTTCCAAGGGGGTTGAATTCAGGCCTCTTGAACAACTTGCAACAGGAGATTTTCCAGAGGGGTTTTTTTGGCGGGGGGGGGGGGGGTCATCATCACCTTTCTCTTTAAACTTCCTTTCTGGATGGTGCCGCTGGTTCCACCTTTTCCCTCAAATGTGGACATAGCGGCCTTCCCAGGTACCAGGGTGAAGGAAAGGGTTTAAACACAGAGATGTTGCATAGCGCATGCTCGCGATCTCCTCAGAAACAATACCGCCAACAAAACACACGATATCCCCTCAATCCATCAGCTCTGAATGGGGACACAGGGGACATTGTGGCTCAGCCTTTAAAATGTTTCGGGGCAGGAGGGGTTTTTGTCCTGGAGACATTGAAATAAATTCAGCAAAGGAAATCCATGAATGTGAGGCGGTGTTTCCTTCCGAGGTGATGGGTACAAAGCATTGGGCCACGGGCCCAGTTCCTGTTCCAGAGAGGTGACCCTTTCGGCCCCAAAACCGCCGGCCCTGCTGCCCACCGAAAGGCTTGGCGCATCTGCTCACACCTCCTTTCCGTGCTTGTGCGATGGAGGAGTCACAAGCTCTTGTTCAGCACAGCATGAAGCCGATGAATGGAAGGAAACAAACGCTTCCCACCCAGCGAGGGAGCCAGCCAAGAATCTTTCCTACCCACCAGCCTCTTTGAACACGGATTCTGCACAGTGCGGTAGTGACTGCGCCACACCTAACATGGCCCATGCTTCCAAAAGAACACCGCGTCAGATCAAAACGCTTTGAAAGTTGCTGATTTCTGCATTTCCTTGGGGCACCAGACATCTTTCACACTGTGTTCATTGCAGGGGATTCTGGGAAGGATTCTGTGTTGCTGGGAGTCTGGGAAGCATCCCTCCTCCTGACAGGAAAGGACTTTGAATTATCTTTCCAAGGGTCCTGGTTCCTCCTGGTCTTTTACCATGGAGGGCTTGATGGAATCCAACCTTGGGAGTGCAAGACAACAATGGAAGCGTAGGAGCTGCATTCATAAGAAAAGAGGAGGAGACAGAAGAATGGATGGGTGAGAGAGCAGGAGAGAGCGAGAGAAGGAGGGAGGGAGAGGCTGAGAGACACGTCTGTAGGCTGCAATCAAGTCTGTGGGAGAACAAAAGGTTGGGGAATGAGTCAGCAGGCGGGGAGGGAAAAAAGAGCTTGCTTTCTTTCCAGGAAATCAGTTTCTGCTGCAAAGTGTGGGATCAAGGGAGCTTTGCCATCTTGGGTCAAAGGCCACCTCTGTCCCATGTGACTGGCTAAGACAGCCATTTTGTGGTGGTGCCCCTAAACTTTCCTCAGACAGAGAGGCTGCCTGCCCCAGCCCTTGACAGACATGGAGGGCCTTGTGGGTAATCGAAGGGCATTGTGGGTAATTGAAGAGGTGGCTTTAGGAACTCACTGAACGGTGCCACCCACAGGTATGCTGGTGTGACACACCTCAGAGCTGTTCCACCACAGGAGAAGAGATGAGAAACGAAGATACTGGGGGACAGACAAGAGCAGAACCAACTCCAAGTTTGGAGGGCCTGGGGGCAAGACTCCCCATGGGCCCCTCCCTTAATGAATCTATCTTCTCAGCATCAACTTTTGCTCCTCTGTCCGATCATAGCTACCCTTTGCATGCTTGATGGGCCGACAACAACTCAGCAGCGGCATCCTTCTTGTCCTGAGACGGAGAGGCAGGAGAAATAAGGAGCCAGCAGTGAGTTGGGGGGGGGGGGGAGCACGTCTCCAGGGCGCGTCTTGTTGGTGGGGGTTGCATTTTGAATGGCTGTTTCCTTGCTGACATGGCAGAACGAGAAAAAGTACAAGGTGTTTGGTGGGAATGGTGAAAAAATGGACAGTCGTTTCCAGCAGATCCTTTGGAAGATGGGAAGAAGATAGGAGAAGTTGGTTTTAAAGTGCCCTCTTGTGGGCACAGGAGGAAATGCTTTTTGTGGTTCCTCTTAGACTGGCCCCATCTATTTCCTGTTCCCCATAGTTTCCCCTCCTGATGCACGAGGCTGATTTGGCTCAGGGGATGTTGGGCCGTTGGTTGAGCGGCCACTGCTGGTTTGACAGCAAAGCATTCCTGGACGCTCCCTGGCTGATGTTAGCATCCTTTAGAGATTCACACAGCTAATGTTGGTCCTTATTTCTGTGCAGTCGCCCCACAGATCACATGTAAAGACACACCACAATGCCGGCACAGCCAGGCACTTGGGTTTGCATTGTCCAGTCATCGACCTGATTCTTGCAGCTTTGGGCAGCCCTCAGGAAGAGTCCCTCCACGGGCCCTTATATGAGTGGCGCTTGCTGGCTCGTTGAGGTCCCAGGCATGTGCCCAGCCCTGCTGGCTCTTGGCGCTGGTCCCATCGGCTGGACAATGACCACACCGTCCAGCTGAGTAAGAATATCCCTGCCACAGGAGACAGGCTGATCAGCCAACAGGAATTTGTGTTCCAAGGGCAGGCTGAACATCGGAATGGGCTTTTTTAAATTACTGATGTACCCATTGCTAGCTTGAAGGGGGTGCAGATGCTTTAAATCAGCTAAACTCTTTGAATGGTTTTATTTTGACAATAAATGCACTTACGGTGTGAAACTGTGGTGTCTGAGTGTGGAATATATTTGGATGGTTCCATGTAATGCCATATCCTTGCAAACAATTCATTCTATGGTTCTTGGACCTTGGGGGGGCAGGTTTGGGGGGGCTGATTCCCACATATTAGAGGGGTGATTTGCACATATAGGGCTGATTCTCACATATTAGAGGCACAATTCTGAGTTGGGATTTGGGAATGTTTTTTAATTCTCTTTCCTCACTGGCAGTGTAGGAAAAATGATGCCGGCTGCCTCTACCAGGTCAAGAATTCAACCTTGAAGACCAAATAAGGGGGTGGGGAGGAAGGAGTCTGGGGGCCCCAGGATATGATGGACTTGGTCATGCTCCATTGCCCTTCCCTCCCCGTCCAAAGCACCTCTGCCAGCCGGTGGAAAAGGGTGTCCAGCTGAAATGTTGAGCGTGAGAAACATGGAAGCTGAACCATCTCTGACGTGTGTCATGTTCTGCACCGTGCTCACATTCAGGCCATACCCCATAGAAGGACTGCACACCAAATGTCCAACCCCCTGCTCATCATTTCAGGGAGACATCTGGGTTTTTTCCAGAGGCAAAGGTCTTCCGAGTCTCCATTCTCAGGTCGATCGCATGAACCTCCCCATCCGAATGTCTCCTCTTTGTTGCACTGTAGCAAAATTCACTTAGAACCGCTGGCTCTTTTCCTCTGAAAACAAACATTGATCTGCTTGGGAATTTCACTTCAGGCCGAATTCAGTGGAAACACTAACTCAAGGGCAATGAACTGCAGGTCCCATGGGCCAAATTTGGCCAGCTTGGAGTTGAAAGGCCTCGCTGAAGACTTCTTTAGTGGTGTTAAGAGTTTTGTGCTAATGGAGGCTGTTATTTGGGCTAATTCTCATAGTTTCGGCTTTCCGCACTTATTGCCTTTGCCTCCTGCTGAATGAACCCCTGCAAAATTCACCAAAATGGTCTCTGGCCCTTGGGGCTGAAAGAAGACCAATAATCGCAGCTTTCCTTCATGGGCAGAGTTGCCATCATTTTTCTTCTGACCCACATCTGCTTGGGTTTCTTCATTTATTAATAACAGGCAGGAATCCCTAGGATGGGTCAAGAGGGAAGAAATATTATTATTATTATTATTATTATTATTATTATTATTATTATTATTATTACATTTCTATGCCGCCCCTGATCGGTTGAATTTTGGCTTGCTGAGAGGCAACCAAAAGCAGAGGAGCCCCGCAAGGAAAAAAGGTGGTGTCGGCCATCCTACTCCCCAGTGACAATTTCCGCCCTTCTGCACAACAGCACACTTTTTCACAACCTGAGTGTGTCACTTTAAATTCACCCTCTCAGCCTTCCTGCCTTCACAATCAGGAAACCAGGCCGAAGCTTCAAAGTTCTCAGAGCAACGTTTGCCAAGCAAAACTCAGCGTCAGTCTCATCCTAGGCAGGGCGACAGGTTCCGTCTGCTCAGTTCATCTCTCCAACCGCTTATTATCCCAAACGATTGTTTTGCCCTGGAATGGACCACATCTTCAATTTCATTTGACGTAATTATTGTTGTGTTCTAGAAAATCGAAGAAACGGTGAAAGACCCACAGTTTGCCTGTTCTTTGAAGCAGGTAAGGCTATTGGTAGTTTAATCTCCAAGAGGATTCTTGGGCCTTATGCTGGGTTGCCTAGTGGTTAGAATGCTGGACTAAGACTCTAGAGGCCTAATTGGGCTTGAAGCTCACCAGGTATTCTTGGGCTGGGCCTTGATCCTTGGTTTAACTGACCTCGTAGGGTTGTTGTGGAGAAGACAAGGAGGGCTGTATGAGCTGTCTTGGGTTCCCTGTAGGAGGAAAAAAGGCCAGAAATAAATATAATGTTTGAACTTAAATGACAGAAGGGATTTGGGCCTGGCAGCATCTCATTCCCAGAGGGACTCCCTTTCAGTCTATGGCAGTAAGAACAACCATGAACTTTGTAACACCTGAAAGACCAGCAAACTGTTTCATTCCTTGCATCAGCTTCCATGGATGCTACCCACTGGGGGAAAGGGTGGCATCCACAAAAACTCGTGCTGGAATAAATATGTTTGTTGATCTGTAAGGGGCTCTAAGGTGGAGGAGAAAGCTATCGCTGGTGAGCCCTGATGCCTCCATGCTGTCTCCAGTAACGGAGGCAGTTCCCACCAAAAGCTGGCGAACATGGGTGGAAAGGTGCTTGAGGGGAGCTGGTTGGCCACTGCATGAGAAATAGGTTGGACCAGGTGCTCTAGCAGAGCACTTCTCATGTCCAAGGAATGGGCAACCCTAGATGCTGGAGAGGTTGTCAGGCCTCAGCCCAGACCCAAGTCCGACTCTTCCTGAAATTCCACGTTTCACGGGCAAAGGTTGCCAGTCCCTTCTCTCCTGGCCCCTCTGCCACTCGGCTTCCTTTAGAGGACTTTCTTCTGGGGATGGAAGGCAGGACAAAAGTTCTTGAGAACTTTGGCAAGACGAGAACAGGCTGGTCAAGACAAGCTTTTGATCTTATAACTTAAGACTTTATGTAAAATGTATATATTATTTGACCGCACATCCTTAAGCCAAATAAACTTCCCAGACAGGCTTACAAAGAAAAACGATCAGACATGCATTTTAGAAAATACTTTGTCTCTTCATCAGTAGCCAAATGATGAAGTAGCAAAAAAGGCCAATGGAATGATTTTTTTATCTGATTATTCGGAAACATTTGGTAATAGGGGCTGCCAGGCCCCACCCACGCAAAGAAAGCTAAAGTTGTGGACAATTCTAAACAGAGTTGCTTCTGAAAACCACCACCTTCAGAAAAACAAGAGGAGCTGTACTAGAAATGTTTTTTTACACCCGGTAAGAAACCAAGAATTCAGTGAAATGACCCCCACCATTTCTCTGCTCTCCATAGGATGGAAAATCATGACTATCTCCATAACCTGCAAATCCGTCCACCTCGTTCCTCTGTCTTCTGCAGCTCTGGTTATGCTGCATGAGCAGAGGAGACCAGCTACGGATAGAAAACGCTAAGCGATGCTTTCTTCAGTGTTTTACCAATGTGAGCAGCAGTAAAACACTGTAAAAAAAGCTATTCCCATGTTAATAAGAGTCTTGTTATTCCATGTTAATAAGAGGAGGCATTTGCCCATTCCCAGGATTTTACTTTCCTGGGCTCCAAGATCACCGCAGACAGGGACTGCCGCCAAGAAATTAAAAGACGCTTGCTCCTGGGGAGGAAAGCTATGGCTAATCTAGACAGCATACTAAAAAGCAGAGACATCACCCGGATGACAAAAGTGCACATAGTCAAGGCTGTGGTTTTCCCAGTTGCAATGTATGGCTGTGAAAGCTGGACCATAAGGAAGGCTGAGCGCCAAAGGATTGAGGCCTTTGAATTGTGGTGCTGGAGGAGACGCCTGCGAGTCCCTTGGACCGCAAGGCGATCAAACCGGTCAGTCCTAGAGGAGATCAACCCTGACTGCTCTTTAGAAGGCCAGATAGTGAAGATGAAGCTCAAACACTTTGGCCACCTAATGAGAAGGAAGAACTCCCTGGAGAACAGCCTGATGCTGGGGACAATGGAGGGCAAAAGAAGAAGGGGACAGCAGGGGCTGAGGTGGCCAGGTGGAGTCACTGAAGCAGTCGGGGTGAGCTTGGGTGGACCCCAGGGGATGGGGATAGACAGGAAGGTCTGGAGGAGTGCTGTCCATGGGGTTGCAATGAGTCGGACACGACTTTGAGACTAGCACCACCAAGGAGTGTTTAGGAGCACTGGCAAAAAAAGTAACCCCAATGCAAGCAACATTCCTCCAGCTTTCTTTGTAAAGGGACACCTGGAAGGCACATCAGGCAGCAATGAAACACTGCAAGGAAACAATTTTGCTTGCTCTCATGTACTCAATTTTGACATCCTTTGCACAGATTAAAATGAAAAGCAATTTTGAAAAGCCACGTGGTTTGGTGGAGAAGCCACATGAAGAGGAAGATGCACTTCTCTGCCTAGTTTCCTATGCAAAATCTTTCCTCTAGTTGCTCCCCACCCTTCAGGGGAAGGGACAGTTTAGCCTTGGAAACACAAATTTGGAATCTTGCAGCAGGAAAAGCAGCTGTGATTGTGAAACAGATCTGAGCAAGAATTAGAGGGTTAGCATTACTCTCTTGTTGCATCTCTGTTTGGTAACACAGTTTGGGTTCAGAGTGTGTGTGTGGAGGGTAAGGTAGTGAACTGAACAGGGACTGGACAATCCGATCTTTGCTAGACCTAACTGGTATGCAATTGCCTTTAAATATCATGGGTTTATTTCCAGGTAAACCAAGGCTTAGGCTGCAGGGCTGCCGTCTTAAAATCGCAGCATGGGCCTCCCTGGGGCCTAAATTCATTCCTAAATTCAGAGCCTAAATTTGCAAGCAAGTTGGCCCCAAACCAGCAAAAGTTGCTTTCAGCTGAAATTGTGGCAAACATATTCCTTCATTAAGATGAAAACCACAGTCACCATGTGCATTTCTCTCTTTCTCTTTCCGGCAAATACATGTTGATATTCGTAGTTTAGTTCCATCTTTAAACAAAAACTGCTTCGAAATAAACAAGCAAGTACATTTTAACCTGGACAAAAAAAGCTTTCAACTAGGGCAGAGCAGAGATCCCTTCTTCTCACATGCATCTTTTCTTCTTTCATTCACAGGTAGGAAAATTGGGGAGGGTGCTATTTATTGGGGTGCTGGTGGACTGAAATGCAAGAGGAGCTTGATTGATTGATTGATATCCTATACTGGAAAATAAAAGAATGCAAGCCAGTTTATATAATATATAATAGCAACGATAGCAATATAATGCCAACTAACTTTAAAATGTCCTCTAACTAAACAAATTAATAAACAAGGGCAACCACCATTCAAAACACTGGATTGAAACAGTGGTTGAAAGAACAGGAAAAGCTAGGTTCAAAAGGAAAAGGGAAGGGGAAAGGAAAAACCTGTTTACCTACAACCTACGGCTGCATGCATCAACTCACTCCTAGACGTCTCTGAGAAATAAAAATAGCGTGTCCCCAAGTGTCGCTCAGTGCAAAACTGCAGATCATTTGCACTGAGTATTCTAAGCTCGCTTCTCAGCTAAAAAGTCTCCCAGAGTGAGTGGCTTGCACACAATCGGTAAAACAAGACAGTACCTACCCATCTAAATAGATACAATACCCAAGGAAAAATGGATGAGGAGGGGAGAGGAGAAAATCAGTTGTCTTTGAGGGGGTTGGTAGAATGGCTGGCACTCCCCCTTCCTCTGCTACAGCCAGTTAGTGTTGGAATCACAGGGGAATATGGAGCTGGTGGGTATCTATTCTCCTGCACCAGGAGAAAAGTATCTGGCTAAGAATCAGCAAAGGCTTATTCTGTGTCTGGGGTTTGCCAGATAGAATCTAGGTGTGTGCGTCTACAGCAAGATGCCCATTCCTCAGAAGTCCCTGAGCAATAATTTCCAACTGCCGGCCGTTCTGTTCTACCCGCTTTCTCCCCACCACCCACTCCCTGCTGAGCTCACACGGCTTCCTCGAACGCACAAACACGACACTGCCCTTCAGTACCGAGGCTTGGTCTTTACGTCTATGAGCGCTGCTCAGAAATTTCCAACCACAAAAAAGCGAGCCATCTGGAGGCTGGGTGGCTGTTGTGAACTTGTAGCTTTGCAAGAGAGAGGTGAAGCCTAAAATGCACGCTCCTCCTTCTAAGCTTTGCCTAGCTCCCAGCCAGCCATGGGAAGAAGAACATTAGAGCATAAGGGAAGGAAGCCCTAGGATCTAAGGGTGGAAATTGCAGGGCAGCGGAGCTTGGATCAATCTCAGAGCGACAGATTCACTCAGCAGTGGAACAGGCTGCCTGGGGAGGTGGCAGTTCCTCCTACGTTGGGAGTATTTAGGGAGAGTCTGGGCAGCCATCTCTCGGGGATGCCGTACTTGGAAAATTCCTGCATGGCACAAGGGGCTCTCTTATGTATGTGGCTTTTTCTGGAATTTCAGAAGCTCTTTCCCCAAGAATGCTGCCCTTGCATGCTGCATTGAGCAGGGGTGGGCTAGATGACCTCTGAGGGACTCCCCGCTCTCAGGGACCAAACCAAAGACCTGTCTGTGTGGCATTTTCTTCCCATAGTGGCCAAGTGGATGGCCCCACAGGAAGGGCACAAGCACGACGTGAGGAGAGCAGCACCCAATTATTTTTCTGGCCACCAAGTGCATTTCTCCAGATGCTTCTAGCAGAAGGGTGGACAGAAGGTAGCTGTTTGGGACTTCATCTCCCAGCAGCCCCTGCTTCTCACAGGATTAGGGGCTGCCCACCAGAGCTGAAGCCTGGATCCTTTACTTGGTGCCCCAAATCCTTGGGAAGCACTATCCCACCCCTGTGCTGTCCAGGGGCCCTGAGAATTTCTGCTGCGTCAGACCTTCCTGGAGTAGCTGGCTTTTGGCCCACTTGAGTTTCACTTCCTGCTGCCCCCTCCCAAATCTTTCTCCCTGGGTTTTTTTGTTTTTTTCCTTCCTGAATACCTGTCCTCCTCTCACCTCTCCATACAGCCCTTGTTACAAATCAGAACATCCATAGGAGGTGGGGTCCTTTCCATGTATGCACATAGGCCT